TTTTCTGTTTATACTTCAGCATATATGAACTGGAACACATTCTGAGATAGGATCATCCACAGTGGAGGTATGTGTTCCAGTCCAATTAACTTAAAAGCTTCTGATTTCAAGCTTAGAGTGTGTAAAAAATGGAAGACACTGGAAGAAAAAAATGTCATTTCTTCCCCTATAAGAGAAACAAAACTAAAAATAGTCAAGCTGAGATGGTCAGAGGCATGCGGGGGAATAAAAAATACGAAATTCTCTCTAGAAGCATTTATAAACTGATTTTTCAGCAAGACAGAGAATAATTTTTGGAAAGGGGTACAAAAATCAGAACTTAAGCATGGACAGAGAAAAGTCTGTATCAATTTATTAAGGTCATTATATTTCATAAGGACTCTTGGATGGAACTTTTTATACATTGACACTTGTCAAGTATCCAAGTCTCCAGCTCATGGGAACTCTACAATGGTTCATGGAATTGGCTAGGCTGTTGTCATAGCAGAATACAATACACAACATCCCTCAACAAGGAAACAGTTTATTTTTACAAGCATGTATGCTTTTATTTTGTAGCGCAGCAGTTCATAGATGAAACATGGTGACAGTAGTTAAACAGGTGAGATCCTCCCCAACCCAGAAGATGCAAAAACTAGATGAAGGGACCCGTACCAATAACAATGTTGACTTTCCATAAAAGAAAACTCTACCTATGCCTGGAGGCAATGAATGCAAGAATCCAATCTCTTCATAGAATGTTAATGGGAAGAGAATAGAGAAAAGAAGAATTGAGTGAGAATAAAGCTCTGAAACGTTCAAGCAGCCAATAAAGGCATTTAAAGACTTTTTCTCTCCCTGAAATTCAAGTGTTGCTTTATGGGTTTTTGTTTGTTTGTTTGTTTTCAATTCAAATGAAGAAACAACCCAGAATTAAATACTCAATTTTCCAATTTAAAATTCTAGAGTTTAGGTATGTTCTGAAGAAAGAATTAATGGTGGGACATCTGATGCCACTGTGACAGGAGATATCTGTTTCTCACAAGAATGTAATACTAAATAAAATATATGGATAGCAAGGGCATCTAAACCAAAGAGGTAAAAGAACAACACAAGGACACCAATGCAGACAAATACAGAGATTGATAACAGGAAACTCAGGACTAAAAAAATAGAAAACACAAGAAAGCAGAAAACTTGATGTAGAGTTTACTGTGAATTAAGTTTAAATTGTGAAAAAAGTTGTGGACGGAAAAATAAGTAAATTCTTTTTTCTCTTTAGAACAGTGAGAAATAAAGCTGCTGTGTTCAAATACTGCAAGTACCCAAGGCAGCCATGGTGACCAGTGGAATATATTCAGGGAGGCACTAAACTGGTGAAATCTAGTTTTTGATCCTGTGTGCCCCTCACATTCTCTGTGTAATTGTCCGAATTCCACTCAGGTTTCTTCTGCATATTCATCACACTTTGTTTAGTGTCTCCTTTCCTTTGCTGCAACTTTGTAATCAATAGTATAGGAATTTTGTATTTTCCTCCTATGTAACTCTGTAGTCAATAGTACAATAATTTAATGTATTCCCCATGTTTCAAAGTACCCTCCTTTCCTCAGATGTTCCAGGACCAGTGTCTAACGTAGTTTCCCTAGCTTCTTCCCATGTCTCTAATTGTCAATATGTGCTTTCTGGTCCAGAGATGCAAATGTGTGAACTGGATAGATCAAACAAGTTTTGTATAAAATTAGTGTTGTAGCCTGTCCCTCAGTGGGAAGTCCATCTTTAAGATATTTATAGGAACAATCTTAGCTTTGAAAATATGTTATCTTCTGTTAGATTTTCTTGAACTTATTAAAAGTAGGCAAGTTGACAAGGAAAAAAAAAAAAAAAGACAGTGTTTTTCTAACATTCATAAACAATAAAAGAAACTAAGTTGAAAATCAGAGGTACATTTGGGGATTAAGAAACTTCCAGTGAAGAGGGTATCTGCAGCATGACTTCAGCAGATCCAAAGCCACTACAGAACACTTCCAGCCTTTCAACAACCATACTTGCAGCTATGCTTTCAGAGAAATAGTCAGTTAGGCTGTAACTAAATTGTGGAACCAATTTCATTATAACCCCAGCCATGCTGCCGAGCAACAATATTAGATTGGAGGACTGTAAGTAAGCATTAATGATGTGCAATAAAACCATTGTGAGGTCAATATAAGGAAATGTAGGTAAGAATAGGTAAGAAAGAATAAATATTATTGTATCAAATTTATAGCTGTCAACATACAGAAATATCATGCCAAACTTAACAGAAAAAATGAATGATTTGCAGAAGTCAAGTTGAGCTATTGTAAAGCCACAGAGAGGTGATCAGAAACATGTCAAACCATGAAATAATTCAGCCATCAGCTAATCATACAATGTCATGGCAGAAGGCAAGAGCATGTATTGTAGTGGAACATGTCATACTTTAAAATTGTCTTACTTTCAGAAAAAATGGAGCAAAGTGATGAGGTTCATTAGGAATACTGTGTACCAACAGCAATGAGCAGAACAAAGGGAAGGAAAAAAAAGTCTGAAGTTGAAATTCCTACATCGATGATGATAACTGAAATAAGATAAGCAGAAATTATCCATACACTTGAAAATTATAGAAACTTAAGTATCACGAGAAGTAAAAGGTACCTGATTTTTTTTCTGTTAAATCAGACCAATTAAAATCCTATTGTCGTCTTTCCTTTGTTAAATGTCTTGTCTTGTTATAAATAACAGCTTCACTTATTTCAGTATTCTGAAAGGTTTGTTTTACGTAAAAAAACAGATTATGTAGATTCTATCACTTGTAAACCGATACTTGTCCATCATATTCAGGGGAAATTTGGTCTCGGGAGATTATCATGTAACTTTGAGGCTCCTCTGATGATAATTCTTTTCTGAATACTTTAGTAAAGTGGAAAAAAGGAGGAGAAAGGGGAAAATAAGTTACAAGACCATACAAGTATAAGATTTTGGTTTCCACCATACTACAAAAATAGGTATTGCAATTTCACTCTTAAAGTCAATTCCCTAACCTTTTGTCTGGTCATCAGCATTTCTCCTTTCAATGAGCAGATTTAGCAATAAGCTCTGAAAACTTCCCAAAAGTAACAACAGGTAACGTGAAAGACTTGAATAATTTTTATCCATAGCCCTCAAAAATATTGTACTTTGGGTCCATGTTGAAACATTATCAAAAGGAAATTGTAAAAATTATTTTATTTGGGCCAAGAGGGCCCTCAAAATTGCACGTGATTTTTTACATTTAACTCAGTGGAAAAAGCATGTGAGTGTCTGAGAATTTGTTCTCTGTGGCTACTAGCTCTCAAAGGAATTGGTCTTCAGGAGAAGGTGCACTATAAAATAGCTCTATTATGATCTAGAATTGTTGCCCTACTTTAAATGGAAATCTGATTTAAAAATGGGACTTTTTCTTCATACACTTTGGATTCTCTGTTGTTTTGTGAAAAAAAGATGATCTATTATTAAGATATACAACCACACTCATTTATCATAAGTGATTATGTCTTAGAAACCATTGGAATAGAGCTACGTTGTCCTGTGTTATCGCTTAAATTTTCCTAAAAGATTGACAGGTCAATGTATTTCTTGTTTAAAAAGTAAATATAGCAATAATTATTGATGTGTCATCAACCTAAGGAACAAACAAAAACTAAAACATCAAATTAAAAAAAACTCTATGAAAATAAAAAGAAAAAAGAGGAAACCTGCAAGGACATTTTGTGCAAGATATTCCCACTGAGTTATTTTAAGATGAAAAAAAGAAACCATAAATGAGATGTAATAAGACAAGGCTGATAATAAGCAGTCAAATATAGGAAATGTCTTGAGTAGTTCAGATTTTTCATTTATTTTTAATGCACTGAACAATATATAATAGAAGCAATGCTCTTTAAATCTTAGTATTTTTGTCAAGGTTTTCTAATGAAGAGGTCACTATCGCTGTGTTCTTCATTTCTCTCCCTCTTCAATGATTTTCCTGTTTTCTTATTCTCTGCAAGTGGTGATTGCTGTACTGCAGCGTTCCTTGTTCCTACAATGCATTCTTTAAATTGTTAGCTATGAGGAAAAGGTACCCCTATTCCTCTTTCTGCTGTTGGGTACTGAAAGAGCCCAGAATGAAACCTCGGCTTTCACATAAACTATATCAGTGCTTCTCCTGTAGCCCATTTTGAAGTCTTCAGGTTTTGTTAGCATATCTAAGAGGTTATGTAGAAGTTTCTACACATTGTAGTCCATCTGTTGCAGTTCCTGCCTTAATTGGCAAAGGAGAATCTTTGTGTGGGTTGGTTTTTTTAATTACATACTACATCTAAGAGCAAAGTCACTAATCAGCTGTCTTACTAATGTTATTTTGGGAGCTGGATCTTAGTATCCAAGCACATTTCTTTTTATCTTTTCTGAACAAATACACTAGGCCGTCATTTACCTGTACAGAAGTAACCACCTGTAAGTGGTTACATCCTGAAGAACACAGTAATGATCATGATGACAATACCCACACTAGCCTTGCTGTGATCGGTAATACATAGCAGTACTTTTGTTACATCTATCTGGTACAGAGTACATTAAGGCATTCTTTCTTAGCATCTCCCTGTGGGATGCAAGCATCATGTAACTATTACACAGATCTCTTACTTTGAAATTGCATTTACACAATTGTTTTTTTAAAACTGAAAAATGGTAAATCTTTTGCTCAGACCAGCCCTCGGGAGCCACAGAATTTGGAAGAATCAGAGAAAGTCTGGACAAAGGAAGCCCTTCCCTTGGTGCAGGAAGACCAAGTTAAGGAGCTGTTAAATGAACTGGGTACTCACAAGTCCATGGGTCCTGATGGGATGCACCTGTGAGTGCTGAGGGAGCTGGCAGAGGTCATTGCTGAGCTGCTCTCCGTCATCTTCAAATAGAGGTCCTGGAGAACAGGCGAGGTGCCTGAGGACTGGAGGAAAGCCAGTGTCATCCCAGTCTTCAAAAAGGGCAAGAAGGAAGACCCAGGAAACTACAGGCCGGTCAGCCTCACCTCCATCCCTGGAAAGATGATGGAACAACTCATTCTGGTTGCCATCTCAAAGCATATGGAGGAAAAGAAAGCCATCAGAAGTAGTCAACATGGATTCACAAAGGGGAAGTCACATCTAACTAACCTAATAGCCTTCTCTGATGGCATCACTGGTTGGACAGATGAGGGGAGGGCACTGGATGTTGTCGACCTTGACTTCAGCAAGGCTTTTGACCCAGTCTCCCACAGCATCCTCATAGATAGCTTAGGAAGTGTGGATTAGAGGAATGGACAGTGAGGTAGATTGAAAACTGGCTGAAAGACAGAGCTCAGAGAGTTGTTATTAGGGGCACAGAATCTAGTTGAAGGTCTGTAACAAGTGGAGTCCCCCAGGGGTCGGTACTGGGTCCAGTCCTCTTCAATATATTCATCAATGACCTGCATGAGGGGATGGAGTGTACTCTCAACAAGTTTTCTGACAATACAAAACTGGAAGGGGTCGTTGACACGATGGAGGGCTGTGCTGCCCTCCATCAGCGAGACCTGGACAGGCTGGAGAGCTGGGCAGAGAGGAACCTAATGAAATTCAATAAAGGCAAGTGTAGGGTACTGCACCTGGGGAGAAATAACCCCATGCATCAGCACAGGTTGGGGGCTGACTTGCTAGAGAACACCTCTGAGGAGAAAGACCTAGGAGTCCTGGTGGACAATAGGATGACCATGAGCCAGCAATGTGCCCTTGTGACCAAGAAGACCAATGGCATCCTGGGGTGCATTAAAAAGAGTGTGACCAGCAGGTCAAGAGAGGTTATCCTGCCCCTCTACTCCGCCCTGGTGAGGTCCCATCTGGAGTATCGTGTCCATTTTTGGGCTCCCCAGTCCAAGAAGGACAGGCAACTGCTGGAGAGGGCTACGAAAATGATTAGGGGGCTGGAGCATCTCCCTTACAAGGAGAGGCTGAGGGCCTTGTGTCTTTTTAGTCTGGAGAAGAGAAGGGTGAGAGGAGATCTGATCAATGCTTATAAATACTTAAAGGGTGGGTGTCAGGAGGACGGGGCCGGTCCTTTTTCAGTGGTGCCCAGGGATAGGGCAAGAGGACATGGGCACAAACTTGAACATAAGAAGTTCTGTCTAAACATGAGGAGGAGCTTCTTTACTTTGAGGGTGGCAGAGCACTGGAATAGGCTGCCCAGGGAGGTTGTGGAGTCCCCTTCTCCAGAGACATTCAAAACCCGCCTGGACAAGTACCTGTGCAACCTGCTCTAGGGAGACCTGCTCTGGTGGGGGGGTGGACTGGATGATCTCCAGAGGTCCCTTCCAACCCCATGTGATTCTGTGATTCTGTGGTTCTGTAGTAGATAAACATTTTCAAAGGCATATCTCAAAATTCCTGCCTCTCCTAGAAATTGGGGAGTGGGAGAAGCCTTTTTTTCTCAAGCACAAAAAACTTACCCAGCCAGTCCATTTTTATTCCTTTGGGTATTTTTATGAAAAGACAAATTGTCTATAAGACAGTGTCATACTGAGTCACCCCACTTGGGTCATATCAGGCGAGGAAATGTCAAAGCGAAGTGTGAGAAAATAATCTGTAGTGAATATTCATTTAACCATCCTATAAGGGATTTGAGGGCTCCCAGCGATTCTATTGACAGATTATCTGTCAATATACTTGTGCTGCCACAGCTTTTCCTTTGAAATAATCCTTCTGGGGTTTTTTTGTGGAAAGCACCATAAAAATTAATAGAAGTGATCCCTGAACTTAGGCGTTTGCACAGAGATTTGAAATGGGACTTCCTGAATAATAAACAAGGCAAGTGGCAAAGACCACAGAAAGGGCAGGACATCACAATGAGGTAATTTGGTTACTCATCTAGAGCTAGAAATCTGTTGTAACATCAAAAAAAAAATTAACCACAAAAAAAAATATAATCACAGCAATTGTTCCTGTACTGAGCTAATACCTTACAGTGCTGCAGAAAAAAAGGGATTTCCATACTCTGCTAAAAGAGGTCTACAGGTATTCTGCTCAAATTGGCATGTGAGGCAGTGAGGTTGAAATCAGTGGTGGCAGGTAAGACAGAGACTCGGAGATAAGGTCCAACAAAAAGAAGGGTCTGTTAGAGAAAGGACTTGGAGAGCAGGATTACAAATGTGAATTCAGCTCACTGATACTTTAAATGGCTCAAGAGTTACGAATAAAATAGGTTTTAGGTTTTCCTACATGGAATTCTTCCAAACCAGAGAGATCCCTGAAACATCCTGACTAGGAATTCTCTCCTGATTTAGGTCACAAACTAAGTTGCACTCAATTTTGTCTCCCATGTTTTATGAATACCTTGTGTTTTGGCTTTTTTCCTACTTTAGCTTTTAAATGAGAGTAGCTTGTAACCCTCAGTGTGATAGTGTAGTGATAATATGCAGGGATAGTATCCAATTCTGTAAGTTGTCCTTTTTGAATGGCTCTTCGAGAAGTTCAAATTCTTATTTTCAGAACTGTAAGAGTCTTTGGAATAGATAACCTCCTCAGAACACAAGAATATTTCATCTCAATATATATGAAATCAAGCAAAGCCCACCTTTGCTGAACAAGGGATTCCAGGCTATTTAGATTCAGACAAAAGAAAGGAAGCTTATGAAAGATGATAGTTGGAACAGGATACCTCAGAGGAATATGGAAGCACTGCCCATGCAGGCAGCAGGAAAAGACAAATTTCAGTTGCAGTTGAGGCTGGAAAGGGTCTGTGAAGGAGAACAAAGGTTTATGTAAACACGCCATCAGAAAAGGAAGACTAGGTATATTATGGGCCTTCTGCTGGATGGACAACTTAATAATGAGGGTTATTGGAAAAGTATACTTGAAAAAGATCTTTTCTTTGCCTCAGTTTTTGCTGGCAAGGTTTTCTCTCAGGTGTCCCAGGTTCCTGTGCTCAGCTGGGGAGCTTAAGGAAGAGAAGTAGTGGCTTCAATAGAAGAATAATACCAGGTGATGGATTATTAAGCAAACTGGACATGCACAACTCCATGGGGATGGATGGGATATATTCAAGGATGCTGAGGAAGTTGACAGACATAATTGGGGTAATTGAGGAGAGGTCTTGATGCTTGAAAAAATGCACATCATCATCATCTTCAAAATGGCACCAGGAGGATTTAGAGGGCTACAGGCTGGCCAGCCTAATTTATTTAAGGATCAAATCCTTCTGGAAGCCATTCCAGGCATATGGAGTGCAAAAAGATGTCTTGGAACAACATTCAAAGGGATCTTGACAGGCTGTAGAAATCTGCTGACAGAAGCCTCATAAGTTCTGCAAAAGCAAATACATATTCTTGCATTTGTGAAAGAACAACACCTGGCAACTGAACAAGGTGGAATTAATTAGAAAGTATACTTGGAGCAAAAGATGGGAATCTCGGGATCCGATAAACAACAAACTAAAAAATGTCCTGTGGACAACAACCAGCAATGTGTTCTCATAGTAATGAAGTCTAACTACACTCTGGTTAGTGCAGCAAACAAGTTGTAATAATTGATTATTCTTGTCTTCTCAACCCTTTTGAGATCATACCTGGAATAATTTTGTCTTACCAGAGTAAGAGAGAAAGTGAAAAAATAGAGTCCAGATTAGGGTACTAAGGGGGCCAGGTGAATGAACACAGAAGAGCTGCTCACAAGACCATGTCCTTATTCTGCTTTGCCCTTCATTTTCTTTTTTGCCATTTGCACCAGTATGAAACAAGGTGGAAAAGGCTCATAAATCCTAATTGCTACAATTTACCGTTCCTTAGTAGAGTAAATGGCTATCCATTAAAGACCAAGAGTTTATGATTCTCTACTATGATGTCAGTTTTATGTTGGCACAATGCTGTTTATTTCAACATTTTTTCGTATTTCTATCATTTGGTGTAAAGTGAAGAATCAAATGCATTTTCATAGTTAGCCGTTAGACATACAGATATTCATCACCAGTCTCATGAAGCTAATTTCAAAACTTCCTGTAGTACAGTCTTATCCCACTGGAAAACAACAGATATGCAGAGAAATGAATTCTTTTATTCTTAAAAAAACAAGGAGCTGAGACAAAGTTATGCTTTCCAAAGTCAATGTGAATTCTCCTGTTTATTACAGTGAGAGAAAAATGGCCTCTAAAATAGTTTGCATAGTTTCCTAATATGAAAAGCAACACAGAAGTCATTTTTTTAAATGGGTTTTATGTCATTTTACTGATCAGTTGCTTACTCCCTACTGGCTTTTCTCAGTCTTCATAAGGAACTTCACATCTTTGGGTCAGAAAGATAGATTACTTAGATGGGAAGTGTTCAAAAAAAAAAGAGCTACTTGACCTAGAGGCAGGCTACATTCTTGCTGGTTTTCTTCTGCCTTCTAATGATGCTAACCTGTCATTATGGTTGTGCAATGTGATAAATGTAATTTTGAAGGCAATGTTAGTCTCTTTCAGAACTCAGTGTTCTGAATCCTAGATGGTGCACTGGACAAATAATGATTTAACTAGACACTAAGCTTATACCTTCTGACTTCTACTAGCTGCATAAATAATTCAGAACAAAAAAGGACATCTACACCCAGCAAGCTCAAGTCTTTTCCAACATCATGTTAGTCCAGTTTTGCAGTTGTACATTGAGTCATGCTTGTTGCTGGTGCCATGCACCATCACTGTGAACACCTGAGTTCTTAAGTGTACTCTTTGCAATATCAGTGTTGCAGTATGAGGACCCTTTGGGGCACTGCAAGTGGAGCCATATCTTCCAGGGACATCATATGCGCTACTTGGCATGCCCTCTACACTTAATTTTGCTTTATTAATAGACACAGTATGGGAGTGTCAAAAAAGAGCTGGACGGTGCACCAATATTAGGCATTGTGACTGATTAGCACTCGAATTCAAGAGAAAGCATGCCATATCATTGGGAGCAGTCAGCACAGATTTGCCAAGGGGAAATCATGCTTGACCAATCTGATAACCTTCTATGATGGCATGACTGGCTGGGGAGATGAGGGAAGAGCAGTGGA